ACAACCCCATCTATAAATATATTGAACAACCATGGTGACATCACACATCCTTGTCTAAGGCCTACTTTTACTAGGAAATAATCTCCCTCTCTCCTACATACTCTAACCTGAGCCTCACTATCCTCATAAAAACTCTTCACTGCTTTCAGTAACCTACTTGCTATACCATACACCTGCAACATCTCCCACACTGCCCCCTATCCACCCTGTCATATGCCTTTTCCAAATCCATAAATGCCACAAAAACCTCTTTACCCTTATCTAAATACTGTTCACCTATATGTTTCACTGTAAACACTTGGTCTACACACCCCCTACCTTTCCTAAAGCCTCCTTGTTCATCTGCTATCCTACTCTGTCTTACTCTTAATTCTTTCAATAATAACTACCATACACTTTACCAGGTATACTCAACAGACTTATTCCCCTATAATTTTTGCACTCTCTTTTATCCCCTATGCCTTATACATAAGGAACTATGCATACTCTCTGCCAATCCCTAGGTACCTTACCCTCTTCCATACATTTATTAAATAATAGCACCAACCACTCCAAAACTATATCCCCACCTGCTTTTAACATTTCTATCTTTATCCCATCAATCCCAGCTGCCTTACCCCTTTTCATTCTACCCACTGCCTCACGAACTTCCCCCACACTCACGAGATATTATTCCTCCTTGCCCTATACACGAAATCACAGCTTCCCTATCTTCATCAACATTTAACAATTCCTCAAAATATTCCCTCCATCTTCCCAATGCCTCTAACTCTCCTATTTTTAACTGTCAAATCCATCTGTTCCCTAGGCTTCCTCAACTTATTAATCTCACTCCAAAACTTTTTTTTATTTTCAACAAAATTTGTTGATAACATCTCACCCACTCTCTCATTTGCTTTATTTTTTACATTGCTTCACCACTCTCTTAACCTCTCTTTTTCTCTCCATATACTCTTCCCTCCTTGCATCACTTCTACTCTGTAAAAAAAACTCTCATATGCTAACTTTTTCTCCCTTACTACTCTCTTTACATCACCATTCCACCAATCGCTCTTCTTCCTTCCCGCACCCACTTTCCTGTAACCACAAACTTCTGCTGACCACTAACACTACATTCTTAAATCTACCCCATACATCTTTGACCCCATTGCCTATACTCTCACTAGCCCATCTATCCTCCAATAGTTGTTTATATCTTACCCTAACTGCCTCCCTTTTAGTTTATACACCTTCACCTCTCTCTACTGCTGCTTCCATTTTCCTTGCATCCCATCTACCTTTTACACTCACTGTAGTTACAACTAGAAAGTGATCTGATATATCTGTGGCCCCTCTATAAACATGTACACCCTGAAGGCTACTCAACAGTCTTTTATCTACCAATACAGAGTCCAATAAACTACTGTCATTACATCCTACATCATATCTTGTATACTTATTTATCCTCTTTTTTCTTAAAATACATATTACCTATAACTAAACCCCTTTCTACACAAAGTTCAATCAAAGGGCTCCCATTATCATTTACACCTGGCACCCCAAACTTACCTACCACACCCTTTCTAAATGTTTCTCATACTTTAGCATTTAGGTCCCCTACCACAATTACTCTCTCACTTGGCTCAAAGGTTCCTATACATTCACTTAACATCTCCCAAAATCTCTCTCTCTCCTCTATACTCCTCTCTTCTCCAGGTGCATACACGCTTATCATGACCCACTTTTCACATCCGACCCTTATTTTAATCCACATAATCCCTGAATTTACACATTTATATTCCCTCGTCTCCTTCCACAACTGATCCTTCAACATTATTGCTACCCTTTCCTTAGCTCTAACTCTCTCATATACTCCTGACTTAATCTCGTTTATTTCTCCCTACTGAAACTCGCCTACCCCCTTCAGCTTTGTTTCACTTAGGGCCAGGACATCCAACTTCTTTTCATTCATAACATCAGCAATCATCTCTTTCTTATCATCCACACTACATCCACACACATTCAAGCATCCCAGTTTTATAAAGTTTTTCTTCTTCTCATTTTTAGTAAATGTGTACAGAAGGGGTAACTAGCCCATTGCTCCCAGCATTTTAGTCGCCTCATACGACACACATGGCTTACGGAGGAAAGATCCTTTTCCACTTCCCCATGGACAATAGAGAAAAAAAAAAAAACAAGAGCTATGAAGAAAAAAGAAGAAAAACCCTAAATGTGTGTATGTGTATATATGCATGTGCATGCTTGTGTAGTGTGACCTGAGTGTAAGCAGAAGTAGCAAGATATTCCTGTTATCCAGTATGTATACGAGACAGAAAAAAAGACGCCAGAAATCCTACCATCATGTAAAACAGTTACAGGTTTCCATTTCACATCACCTGGCAGGACGGTAGTACCTCCCTGGGTGGTTGCTGTCAACCAACCTACTACCTGGACTCATTACTTACCTTAAAATATTTGTAGTCTTAATGTAGGGTGAGAGGCGAGTAAAAGAAGTAAAACGAATAAACAAGAGAGAGAACGAGTAAATGGGATAGGAGAGAAACGCATAGTATGTAAACAAACGCGTCCGGTTTTGGTTCATACATGTTTACCTACACCTAACGTCTCATATTTATGTTAATTTATTCTACTGTGGGGTGTATTTATCATGTTTATATGTTAAGTAGCATGTTTATTTTATAATTTTGAAAAAAAAAAATCATAGATGGATTAATGAAAATGTTTATATTAACCTAATATACGACATTTAATGCACCTCAGAGTGATTATTATTGTGTATTATTATCATTATTAATATGGCAATCTAAAGACACTCTTAGTGATTTTAATGTGTACCTGCATGCCAGCACAGTGTGTAAGTTTATTTATGTCTGGTAGCTAAGCTCTCACTTCACACGGTGAGGGTCTGGGTTTGATTCCCAGCCAGGGTAGAAACACTGGGCGTGTTTCTTTACACCTGTTGTCTATGTTCACCCATCAGTAAATGGGTACCTGGGTGTTAGTCAACTTGTGTGGGTTGCATCCTGGGACACTGACCTAATTTACCCAAAATGCTCAATATAACAAGGGGCTTTCTATAGAGTAGTATGTCATTGATGTCAGCTAGGCCTGTATACTATGTACATGTAGTAGTAAATAAAGGTACAGGTACACATAAATATAATTATCAGAATATATATAAAACATGAAATAACTTTTGAAACACTTGAAATTTTGAAAAGTTTACAGACATAATGGAGAGATGCAGTGCTCATGGAGCTCACAGAGAATGTAAACAAACCAGGTGACCATATTAGAAAGTCAGGTGGGGGAAAAGCCATGTAGTGAGTTTTGGTCATAATTTCAAATGTCCATATTAACAGAACACTAAGGTGAAACTCCATAAAGCGGGGCCCTACTGTGTATAGAACTGTCAAAACCCCTAACTCACTAGCATTCCAATTCACACCTATGCTAATTAAGCAGACATAGTCTGCTTAATTAGCATAGTCTGCAAATCAATTAACTAGACTATCAATTAAGCAGTTTGCTTAACTGATTGATTAATTAAGCATAGTCTGCTTAATTTATCAACACACAGCAGACTATGTCTGCTAATTAAGCAGACATAATCTGCTTAATTAGCAGAAATAGTCTGCTGTGTGTGCTAAGTCTGCTAATCACTTAAGCAGACTATCAATTAAGGATTATGTCTGCTTAACTGGTCAACTTTCTAACATGGGCAAGCATCCAATAAAACAGACTTGGTCTACTATATTGATGACATGACTGGACATACAACGAAAAAACTAATGTAAGCATGCTTTAATCTCTCTATCTACCTAACTACTTCCTCTCTCTCTCTCACATCCTTACCACCTCTCTTTCTCCCACTCTTTTTTTCTCTTCCCTGCCTAAATTTTTTTTTTTTTTTTTTACAAAATCTACTACATGCTGCTTGGAAACAGCCTTAAATATCCAATGGTTCTCCCATTACGACACACTGACGACAAATTTTTAGGCTTATTTTTTTGGAGGGGGGTTGAATGAGCATAATCTTATTGTCCCATATAGTCTTCAGTTCAGTTTACATACATTTTTATTACACACCATTTTCAGGAATGTTACTTCTGTTATCCAATGGTCAACTGTATATATACCTGTACATGACACTTACAGACAATGGTTAAAGAAATAAGTTTCCTACAAAACTTTGGGCAGGTGCTTATTTTACCACTTGCACTCTTCCTTTTATAAAAGTATTTGTGGTTACTATCTCCTAAAATAAAAATTTGTACAACAAAGAACTACTTTTGTCTGGGTCTGGATAGTTTGCATAAATATTAAGAAATACAGTAACTGGCTGAGTACAGCCAAGCAGCCATATTCCATATTGACCCAAGGTGCTACAGGATGATTTGGTTATGTTGATGTTGTGGTATGAAAAGCGACAAGAGGCAGTTTAATGTGAACAGATGTAAGGTTATAATCCTGGAAAAAGAAAATAACAATGGTACATGTAAAGTAAATAACAAGGTATGAATCATAAGCCAACTTCAGAAAAACTTAGGGATTCTCATTGATAGAAATCTTAAATCTAGAAAGTAATACCTATGGTAATTTTATACTTTAGCTTAATATATCCTTTACATTATAAAGCTTAATTCTGATCTCCATATTAAAGAATGGACATTATTACACTGGAAAACCTACAGAGAAGGATGCAAAGCTAATCTTGTTTTAGAATTCTTTCTTATAAAAATCAGTTGAAGACATTGAATTTACTCTCTGGAAAGGCATAAAATTAGACAAGATATACCTGAGGTATACAAATAGCAAACCAAAATAAATAATAGAAATAGACATAGTGCCTAAAATTTCTAACCAAGACAGGACTCATAGAAACAGATTCAAGTTGAATAAATTTACATTTAGAATAGATATAAGAAATCACTGGTTTAGCAGTACAGTTGTTGAAAGGATTTTATTTCACAGGAAAGCTAAACCCAAAGGGGCCATACAATAGGGTGTTCCATGGCTCGGTTGGAAATGCTGTCGCCTCATAGTTCAATCCCTGGCATGGGCAGAAACACTGGGCATGCTTCCTTACACCTACTGTCCCTGTTCACCTATCAGTAAGCAGGCACCCGAGTGTTAATCGACTGGTGTGGGTCGCATCCTGAAAAAAAAAAAGATTAAAGGACTCCAATAGAAAAAAGGCTGAGAGTTCTCAATGATACACCGACTTTCTTGGGTTATCCTATGCAGATAACCTTCTGGGTTAAAAATCTGAACAAATTTTATCTTACAATGCTTGGGAAATGGGAGGCAATTAGATTCAATCCAAGGAAAGAGAGGGGTTGCTCCAATTCTTTGGATCAAGAGCCCTTGAAAGGCGAGGGGAAGAAAACAAACTACCAAGCACAGTCAGTGATGCAATTACTTTAAGAAGCTTTAAATACAGATCGTTTCTGGAAAAAGAGGCAGTGCCAGAATTTCTATACTATTTTAAGACATTAAGGCTGGCTAACTGGTTGGAAAAGGGGGGAGCTAGAAGACCTGTTTTGAGGGAGCATTATTATTACTATGGGAGGACCGAGGGAATTTGGGGGGGCTTCAACCCACTTGGTGCTGCCCCTGATTGGAAACGTGAGTGTCATATCATTCAGTGTGACTGAGACAAATTAGCAATGTCCAGTAGACCAAACACAATGCTCCTCTGTTCTTTTATGAAATAAATGTCTCTCATTTAAGTGTTAAATGTGTTTTATCAGCAGTTATCAACAATCCTGCAGCTGTGGTTTATGACCACTACTTAGCTGAACTCAGGCATTAGTTACACTACAATACATATAACCTATGTACACTAAAGTACAAGTATTTCTTGTGCAAATTATTATTTTATTTGATAATGCCAAAAAAAAATATTTATTTTGGTTGTGCAGCATGACTACTAATTAACTCTTAATATCAACTTATGTCACATCCTTGCCAAACATACACAAAGACATATCTAACAATGGCAGAGTAAGGTTAAATTAGGTTATTTTAAGTTCAGTTAGGCAGATTTCATTAGGTTAGGTTATTTTTTTTTACCATTTGCACAACAAAATAATATCCCAAATTTAACGCCAACTTAATATTGTTACACAACCCAGGGCAACATGGGTTTAGAACAGGTCGCTCCTGTCTGTCTCAACTATTGGATCACTACGACAAGGTCCTAAATGCACTAGAAGATAAAAAGAATGCTGATGTAATATATACAGACTTTGCAAAAGCCTTCGACAAGTGTGACCATGGCGTAATAGCGCACAAAATGTGTGCTAAAGGGATAACAGGAAAAGTCGGTCGATGGATCTATAATTTCCTCACTAACAGAACACAGAGAGTAGTCGTCAACAGAGTAAAGTCTGAGGCAGCTACGGTGAAAAGCTCTGTTCCACAAGGCACAGTACTCGCTCCCATCTTGTTCCTCATCCTCATATCCGACATAGACAAGGATGTCAGCCACAGCACCGTGTCTTCCTTTGCAGATGACACCCGAATCTGCATGAGTGTCTTCCACTGCAGACACTGCAAGGCTCCAGGCGGACATCAACCGAATCTTTCAGTGGGCTGCAGAAAACAATATGAAGTTCAACGATGAGAAATCTCAATTACTCAGATATGGTAAACACGAGGAAATTAAATCTTCATCAGAGTACAAAACAAATTCTGGCCACAAAATAGAGCGAAACACCAACGTCAAAGACCTAGGAATGATCATGTCAGAGGATCTCACCTTCAAGGACCATAACATTGTATCAATCGCATCTGCTAGAAAAATGACAGGATGGATAATGAGAACCTTCAAAACTAGGGAGGCCAAGCCCATGATGACACTCTTCAGGTCACTTGTTCTATCTAGGCTGGAATATTGCTGCACACTAACAGCACCTTTCAAGGCAGGTGAAATTGCCGACCTAGAAAATGTACAGAGAACCTTCATGGCACGCATAACGGAGATAAAACACCTCAATTACTGGGAGCATTTGAGGTTCCTAAACCTGTATTCCCTGGAATGCAGGCGGGAGAGATACATGATTATATACACCTGGAAAACCCTAGAGGGACTAGTACCGAACTTGCACACGAAAATCACTCACTACGAAAGCAAAAGACTTGGCAGACAATGCAACATCCCCCCAATGAAAAGCAGGGGTGTCACTAGCACGTTAAGAGACCATATAATAAGTGTCAGGGGCCCGAGACTGTTCAACTGTCTCCCAGCATACATAAGGGGGATTACCAACAGACCCCTGGTAGTCTTCAAGCTGGCACTGGACAAGCACCTAAAGTCGGTTCCTGACCAGCCGGGCTGTGGCTCGTACGTTGGTTTGCGTGCAGCCAGCAGCAACAGCCTGGTTGATCAGGCTCTGATCCACCAGGAGGCCTGGTCACAGACCGGGCCGCGGGGGCGTTGACCCCCGGAACTCTCTCCAGGTACAATTCAAACCATAAGTAATGGTGGAAACCCACCAAAGAGCAACCATCTATTGTTACACCATTAAACAGTAGGAGCAGTGACAATATTATCCACAGAATTAATAGTTACTAATAAATATAATGAGCAAATATAAAGTATTATACTTAGGAATCACTGAACCTTATGTACCTTAAAAATCAAACTAGAACCTAGGTAATGACCTAATGGAACCTTTGTCTCTTGTTCTTAAACAATGTAAATTCATCAGTGAGAGAAAACCTTTAAGCTACGACGACAACGAAATAAATGTAAATAAATAATAATAATTAGTTTATTTCTCTGAGCCACACAGATAATACAGATAAATGTATTATTACAATAGTAGGCACGAAAGAAAGCCATTGATTTTACAATGTATCCTTCACTGTTTAGTTTCATAATTCATGTTAGTTTAACATTAGATTTTTTTTTATTAAGACAGACGGTTTTTTCTTTGTAATGGGAGAGGTGAGACACATTATAGGTAACAGTTATGTCAGGTGTAAGCTGCTAGCTTGATTAATTATATTAAGCGTTCCAAGTCAGCTGTCAGTATTTACCTCATAAAGCTGCGAACAAAGACTAGTATCAGCAACACTGTTATCATAATATTATTTAAAAACAAGACAAATATCATCAATTTTGAAGATAAATATGATAACCGGCGCCGACAGTGACGTCACACCGCGCGCCCACAACCCCTCCCACATTAACATAATTACCTTTATAACAAGTATTAGTCACTCACGGTAACATGTCTGAAATGTCTGGTTTTCAACCAGCTACAGTTGGAAAACATTTTGTCCACGAAGGTATTGTTGTTGTTCAGTGATGACCAACAAGTCACTGAGAAGATCCACTGCAGTAGACAGTATCCAGCTCCCAGATGGCTCTTACCTCGAATGCTGTATAGTCCTTGTGGATTAGCGCTTCTTTTTGATTATAATAATAATACCTCGAATATTACACTAGGTCCATATTACACTCGCTAGTAACTCACTTTATGAGAAGAAACTTCAGACGACGTTTCGGTCCCTCCTGAACGATTATCAGGTTGTAACTGAATATTTTTTTATTGATAGGATGGTGTAGCCCAGTGGTTTCCAACCTGTGGGCTGAGCCCCTGGGTGACCCCTATTTGTTCATTGTGTCCGTGAAACTAGGCACCAAGGGCTGCTCTCTCCTCCCACCCATGGATTTTGCCGATTAACGAAGATTAAAATGACAATTATTAGCATGTGGGGCCCATAAAAATTATTGAGGGTAATGTGGGTCCTTATTTCCCCAATTGGGGGTTTGGCCTATAAGATAAGATAAGATAAGATTTCGTTCGGATTTTTAACCCCGGAGGGTTAGCCACCCAGGATAACCCAAGAAAGTCAGTGCGTCATCGAGGACTGTCTAACTTATTTCCATTGGGGTCCTTAATCTTGTCCCCCAGGATGCGACCCACACCAGTCGACTAACACCCAGGTACCTATTTGCTGCTAGGTGAACAGGACAACAGGTGTAAGGAAACGTGTCGAAATGTTTCCACCCGCCGGGAATCGAACCCGGGCCCTCCGTGTGTGAAGCGGGAGCTTTAGCCACCAGACCACCGGGTCACCCATACTTATTTACACAAGGGTGGGAAGGTTGGCCTATATGTCACAGAGTCGTTCATTTGCTCAGAACTACTAAACACCTCAAATGATGCAGTTGAAGGTTTGTCAGTAAAGATCGAAAACTAAAACCTTGTCATTGTGGTTGATTACAAGCCTCCTGATGCAACCTCCCAGCAGTTCCAGGAACAGCGTTTGAAAATTGACCACTGTCTGGAAAATTTCCTGACTCCTGCCCTACATCTTGTTACTGGGGGGATTTCAACTTGAGGCACCTGAAGTGGAGGAATGTAGCAAATAATGTTATGGCAGAGGTCACCTCAGGAGGCAGCTCAGATGAAAATTCATACGTGAACTATTAAATCTCTGCACTAAATTCACCTTAAACCAGCAAATAATAGAACCAACAAGACTAGAAAATACGCTGGACCTCATCACCCGAATCTGCATGACAGTGTCTTCCATTGCAGACACTGCAAGGCTCCAGGCGGACATCAACCAAATCTTTCAGTGGGCTGCAGAAAACAATATGAAGTTCAACGATGAGAAATTTCAATTACTCAGATATGGTAAACATGAGGAAATTAAATCTTCATCAGAGTACAAAACAAATTCTGGCCACGAAATAGAGCGAAACACCAACGTCAAAGACCTGGGAGTGATTATGTCGGAGGATCTCAACTTCAAGGACCATAACATTGTATCAATCGCATCTGCTAGAAAAATGACAGGATGGATAATGAGAACCTTCAAAACTAGGAGCCAAAGCCCATGATGACACTCTTTCAGGCCCACTTGTTCTATCAAGGCGGGAATATTGCTGCACTCTAACAGCACCTTTCAAGGCAGGTGAAATTGCCGACCTAGAAAATGTACAGAGAACTTTCACGGCGCGCATAACGGAGATAAAACACCTAAATTTAAACTGGAGCACTTAGGTTTCAAAACCTGTATTCCCTGGAACGCAGGGGGGAGAGATACAGATTATATACACCTGAAAATCCTAGGGGGACAGTACCGAACTTGCACACGAAAATCACTCACTACGAAAGCAAAAGACGGGCAGACGATGCACCATCCCCCCAATGAAAAGCAGGGGTGTCACTAGCACTTTTAAGAGACCATACAATAAGTGTCAGGGGCCCGAGACTGTTCAACTGCCTCCCAGCACACATAAGGGGGATTACCAACAGACCCCTGGCAGTCTTCAAGCTGGCACTGGACAAGCACCTAAAGTCAGTTCCTGATCAGCCGGGCTGTGGCTCGTACGTTGGTTTGCGTGCAGCCAGCAGCAACAGCCTGGTTGATCAGGCGCTGATCCACCAGGAGGCCTGGTCACAGACCGGGCCGCGGGGGCGTTGACCCCCGAAACTCTCTCCAGGTAAACTCCAGGTAAACTAACAATGACGATCTGATACGGAATATAACCGTATCAAAGACTACACTCAGATCACAAAATAATAGATTATTATTATTATAATCAAGAGGGAAGCGCTAAACCCGGAGGATTATACAGCGCCGGGGGGAGGGGATGTGGAAGGAATTCAGGCTTATTAATTCGGGGAACTGGAGCACAGATCCAATTCCCTAAATCAAGAGCCCCTCACCAACATCAAGGAACCTTCCTTGAGGGGACAAAATAACAGAGATGTACATATATGCGCAGGGCTCCTGATCAGCAAAATGTGATCAGTTATGAGGGTGCCTTCATCAAATTCAACTTCAATAACAAAACCACACAATGGGAACAAGTCAATCATGTTCTAAATTAAAAAGTTGGAAAGATGTCCTAAACAACATCGATCCGAACCTTTGCCTAGAAGAATTAACTCTGTGGCACTAGAGGTATGATCAAGGCACATTCCTTTAAGGAAAAGAAACCTGTAAACCAGAAAGAAAGAGACGCTCCCTATAAAGGCAAAGGCGAAGAATGAGAGCTGCTGATAGGGGCCAGTATATCCGAAATACGAAGGGAAGCACTAGTCAGAGAAATAGCAAATACTGAACTTAAGTTTAAGGAATCTTTCAGGAGACAAGAATCTCAGGAAGAACTTAAAGCCATAAATGAAATTGAAAGAAACCCAAAATACTTCTAAGGCGAAAACAACATCCGGTATTGGACCCCTACTTAGACAAGATGGGACTTACACAGATGACAGCAAAGAAATAAGTGACAAACTAAAGTCCCAGTATGACTTAGTGTTTAGCGAGCCGTTAATCAGACTAAGGGTCAACAATCTAAATGAGTTTTTATAACCGAGACTCAAAATTCGGTCAATTCAAAAATCTTTGACATTATCCTAACACCACAAGACTTCGAAGAGGCAATAAGTGTACATTTTTTAGGTCAGTAATTTCACCTGCCTTGAAAGGTGCTGTTAGTGTGCAGCAATATTTCCATCCTAGATAGAACAAGCGATCCGAAAAGTTTCATCATGGGCTTGGTATCCCTAGTTTTGAAGGTTCTCATTATCCATCCTGTCATTTTTTTTTTAGCAGATGTGGTAGATACAATGTTGTGGTCTCTGAAACTGAGATCCTCTGACATTATCACTCCCAGGTCTTTTACATTAGTTTTTCGCTCGATTGTGTGATTGGAATTTGTTTTATACTCTGATATACTTTTAATTTCCTCATGTTTTTCTTATCTGAGTAATTGAAATTTCTCTTCACCGAACTTCATATTGTTTTCTGCACCCCATTTAAAGATTTGGTTGATGTTCGCGTGGAGTCTACAAGCCTCCGGATGCAACATCCCAGCAATTCCAGGAACAGCTGTTAAAAATTGACCACTGTCTGGAAAATCTTCCAGCTCCTGCACCCAACATCTTGCTCCTGGGGGATTTCAACTTAAGGCACCTAAAATGGAGGAATATAGCAAATAATATTGTTGCAGTAATAACACCAGGAGGCACCTCTGATGAAAACTCACACTCACACGAGCTTTTAAATCTCTGCACAAAATTCAATTTAAACCAGCAAATAATAGAGCCTACTAGACTGGAGAATACACAGACCCATCTTCAAATAACAATGATATCTGATCAGAAAGTCACCATATCAAAAACAATATACTCAGATCACAACATAATTTAGGTCAGACATGTATGCGTGGAGCCCCAGACCGACAAATGAGACAGTCACGAGGGGGCATTTACCAAATTCAACTTCAATAACAAAAACATAAAGTGGGACCAAGTAAACCAAGTCCTAACCGATATAAGCTGGAAGATACACTAAGCAACACAGACCCCAACTTATGCCTAGAACAGATTAACTCGGGGGCACTCGATGTATGCACAAGGCTTATTCCTCTAAGAAAAAGGAGGAGTAGATGTAAAATAGAAAGAGACAGGCGCTCCCTTTACAGGCGACGGAAAAGAATAACAAGCGGCTAAAAAAGGTCAATATATCTGAAATCGTAGGAGAAACTGTCAGAGAAATAGCAAGCATCGAACTTAAGCAAAAGAATCCTTTAGGAGTCAGGAATCGCGGAAGAACTAAAACCATAAATGAAATCGAAAGAAACCCAAAGTATTTCTTCTCCTATGCCAAATCAAAATCGAGAACAACGTCCAGTATTGGGCCCCTACTTAAACAAAATGGGTCTACCAGATACCAAAAATGTTTAGCTACCAAGTCCCAATATACTCAGTTTTTAGCAAGCCGCTAACCAGAACTGAGAGTCGAAGATCAAAATGAATTTTTTATGAGAGAGCCACAAAATTTGATTAACACAAGCCTATCCGATGTTATCCTGACGCCAAATGACTTCGAACAGCATAAATGACATGCCCATGCATTCGCCCCAGGGGCCCGACTCATGAACTCTGTGTTCATCAAGAACTGCAAGAAGCCCTTTTCACGAGGGCCCTTTTTCCCTCCTATGGAGAGGGAGCATGGACACGGGGTCGTCCCTCAGTTACTAAAAACAACGACATACCCCACTCCACAAAGGGGCAGTAAAGCAAAAGCAAAGAACTACAGACCAATAGCACTAACATCCCATATCATAAAAATCTTTGAAGGGTCCAAAAAAGCAAGATCACCACCCATCTAGAAACCCATCAGTTACACAAACCCAGGCAAAAATGGGGTTTTGAGAACAGGTCGCTCCTGTCTGTCTCAACTATTGGATCACTACGACAAGGGCCCAAAAAGCACTAGAAGACAAAAAGAATGCAGATGTAATATATACAGACTTTGCAAAAGCCTTTGACAAGTGTGACCAGGCGTAAAAAGCGCACAAAATGCATGCTAAAGGAATAACAAAAAAGTCGGTCGAGGATCTAAATTTCCTCACTAACAGAACACAGAGAGTAGTCGTCAACAGAGTAAAGT